GTGCTGAGCAGGGACATGGGTGCCCAAAGGGCTGCCCTGCTGTCCCATAGAGGATGCAGTGGCCCAGGAGCAGGTATGGAAGAAGCTTCCGTGTGCCTGAAGCCGCATCCGATAGCACAGGGTTTGCATCTGTTTTGCATTCAACTATAATGTCTGCTGAAGAATGGCCATCTTGGACATTTCCAACTACCCTCAGACTTTACACTAGTCCTCAGGGGTGTCTGCAGGTGGTCCAGCCTGTGGGTGGGAAGGGGAAAATACTCTTGGCAAGCCATTGGAAAGGTCAGTGTTCTTTAACCAGGAGCTGTGACTTTACCAGCTCTTTCCTTGCAGTTCATAAGACAGGACATGTAGGGATTACCAGTGCTATACATAGATTGCTCTCAGCTGTGTTCTGTGCTGCTGGGAGCACTTAAGAGCTGTGTCAGCCTCGGGGCTGGGGATCCTGCGAGCCGCATGTCCGTTGCTGTTCACCCTGTGCAGAGCGTTTCTCTGCCAGCGCTCAGTGGACCACTGGACGGACCAGAAGAGGACAACTCCGAAGCTGGAAGCCCTCGGAGATTGGGTTTCCTCAGTGGGAAATCCATGAGAAAGGATCAATGTGTGGGCTGGCTACTGGGAGTCAAAATGCAACTCTGAACTTAATTTGATGGGTTTTTATCTGAACACAAGGTGGTTTTTTTTAGTGCATGTTTAGCTCATCAAAGATTCAGTGGTGGTGTTGGCTTGTGTGTGTCCATGTGTGCCCATGGAGATAAGCTAAGGCGTAATCCGGAATTCTTCTGCTTGATAGCCCCTTATCTCTGAGCATGTGCTGTGCCTGTTTTCTCTCTTGGTGGGTCCCCTCGGAGGTGCTGGCTGTGTAAACACAGTTGCTGTTTGTAATGTTGAAGTTCTGGGAGAGTCCTGCATTACTTGCTCTTGAAATAGCGGGGGGAAGCACCCAAAAGTGAGCTCCTGGCCAAGGCCATACAAACAAGCAAACCCTCTATCGCTTGTCAAGGCAATAGCTGGTCTCAGCCAACAGGCATGCTTGAACTTTCTTTGGGATGCTGCTGGAATTACAGCCTGCTCCACAGACCTCGTTAACATTTCACTATTGGATACTTTGGTTTCTGTCAGGTAGCATGTCAATAAGGGTGCGAGTAAGATAACTTCCAGTACGTATGTAGATGTTGATATTCTGGTTTAGTATTTTGGTTGCATTTGGCAACAAACGTTCTGTGTAAACTACTTTAAATCCTTTGAATTCCAGTGGATCAGACCACAAGCAAGAAGTGTTATCCTAGGTGAAGCTGCTTAGCACAGGATACATGCCTTGATGTTTTTTCACCAAAGCTAGCAGCCGCTGAAGCAATCCTGTGCTGCCTCTTGTTGAAGTGTGGATTGACTGCAGGAGAAGAGCACTCAAACTAAAGAAAAAAAATATATAAAAGAAATAAGTGCAGACCACTCAACAATGTTAAATTCTGCAGCATAGTTCAAGTACTCCACTACCTAATAAAGAAGCACTGGTTAGCATGACTGATGAATCTAGCAAGTCTCTCTCGGACCGTGGTGAGGTAGCTGTTGCTGTAGAATGCTGGCTTGACCATACGAACTGCTTGGGGTACTCTGACTGGGTTAGTGAGACCTCTCTATGCACCCCCTGTTCTGAGATTTGAGGGGGATCGTCTTGCTTAGCATCTGGGATTCCTCCAAGGTAGCAGCTTCACTTGAGGACACAAACTGTTATTACAAGTGGAGCTAAAAGTGAAGTTTCCTGTTGGCAGCGTGGGGATGAGTCATTGTGGGTTTGAGTCGAGGGGCAGGAGCTTCCTTCCCTGCTGCAGGTTTTTACTTCCAGATAGGCTCGCAGAGCAGCAGGCTCAGGTGTTCATCACTCTTGTCCCTGTTACTGAGAAAACGAAGCGGTGTTCGTTAGGTGTAGCGCTCTGGATGGGTCTCCATCATGGTGGTGAGCACGTCCTCATTGCCCCTGCGGACAGTTGCATCTACAGCACTGTGATTACTGGTGAGGGTCTAGCTGTGGCTCTCCCAATCCGTCCAGTTACTTACACCAGCGTCCTCCTACAGAACTACGTGCTTTTTTTTTGTGCCAGTGCCTATTGTGGTTGGTGTTCTCTGTGTTTTCCCTTTGCTCACTGCTCATGGCGTCTTTCTGTCTGCATCCAGCCCGGTTTCCCCGGGGAGGGGAGGAGGACTGGGGACATTATCCACTTGCAATCATGCCAGGAGGTTTGAGATTGGTCCCCACGTTTCAGGAAGGGTTTTTTATTGCAAGTTAGATGCCAAAGTAGGCTGGAGAACCATGTGTGTGTGAATGCGTTAAACTTTCCCATGCGGTTCTCGCTGAAAAGCAGGGGGGAAAAAAAGGAAATTTAAAACTTAAGTGCTGGTGGAGGGCGTTGAAGCTGTGCCAGGAATGTTCTTCAGCAGCACTCGTAATAGCTGTTGGTTTGTAGGAGGCAGCCTCCAGCAGTACTGAAGGTGTTAGTCCTGTGGGAGGATTCACCTCTCTTGTTTACAGAAAGGGATGCTAATTTTTCATCCTTCTACCTCTTTGAGTTGTGGTCTTTTTCAAGAACGCCTGAGCAGCGCTGCTGACACTCTGAAGACAATTTCCTTCTAGGGAAAAAAATAAAGTTTTATATGGGAGTATAAATTGTTACAAATTCACTGGAAAAGGGCACTAATTATATTTCATTAAGGAGATTGTAGGTGGACTTTAACATTCCTTCTCTTCATGTACTTGAAGACACGGAGAAAATAATAAGTTATTTCTCTTGAACTTGTGGTGAGGATAGAGGAACTAACCTGGTTGCAGGAGCACTCAGACTGAAGTGTCATTTTGCAAAACCTCTTGATAATGGTTAGCGTGTACAACAACAGGCATAACTTCAGAGACCTTAGTGGAGAGGCTTGCCCACGGAGCAGCACTTTCAGGTAACGTTCATGTCAGTGTGTACGGAAGAATACCAGAACACCATCTTTTCTAAAGTGCTATTTTAGGAAGAAATTCTTCACCGTGAGGGTGGTGAGGCCCTGGCACAGGTTGCCCAGAGAAGCTGTGGCTGCCCCCTCCCTGGAAGTATTCAAGGCCAGGTTGGATGGAGCTCTGAACAGCCTGGGCTGGTGGAAGATGTCCCTGCCCATGGCAGGGGGGTTGGAAACAGGTGATCTTCAAGGTCCCTTCCAACCCAAACCATTCTATGATTCCATTTCTCGTCTTGCTGGTATAGATTGAAGCAAGAGGGACAAATGCTCCTGTTACTGGCCTTTTGTGGAAATCCATGATTTTCTATCAAGTCCTGTGCCTCGGCGACGCTGCCTGTAACGGCGATGTGCCCGTGCAGAGGGAAACTGCCACGTCTCACTGGCCCAGGTTTTGGCAGGCAGCTCTGGCAGTAGCTCCAAGTAGCTCAGAAAAGAAGAAATAACTCGCAAGAAGGGGGAAAAGAGGTGAAAGCACCTGTTTTGTCACTGAATTTTCATTCTGGATACCACACTTAAGAAAAAGCAGCCCGACTTTGTTCTTGTCCAGAACTCCGGTGTATCTCTTCTGTAGCAACACAGTAGTGTGGTTTGGTTTCTCACCCGGCTCTGACTGGAGAGGACAGAAGGCTGAGTGTGACTGGGACTACCAGATTGTCAGGCTCCCTCAAAATCCTGAAGTGCTGGGCTTCAAGACCAGACGTAGATCCCAGGTAGCTTTTTTGATCTGTAACTGGAACCAACTGAAGCTGTAAATGGCTTGGCTGTGTAAAAACTTTTCTATAGCCATTAGCAATTAATAAATCCCATTTTTCTTGACTTTTTTTTTTTTTAAACCCCCACCACCAACCCAAGATGCCATGCTTTTTTTTGGTGTTGGATGTAAACTTCCAGGCCTGAGAGCCTGGCCTTGGTCTGTCTGAGCAGTTTGGCTGCTCGTGGGTGCCAGAGCTCTGATGCAGCTTAAAGTCTAAATTTTTTCCAAAAGTAGATCTTGTCAGACCAGAGTCCTGCAACCTTCATCTTGTATGCTGCTTCTGTGTTGGTTTCCATGGTGGTATTGTCCATTAGTTGAGTTACTGTGTCACTTTGGAAGAAAACCTTGGACTTGCATGCATGTAGCTTGTGCTAAAAATGCAGCACAACGTGTGCTTAAGCAAAAGCATAAAATACAGAATCTGATAGTTGTAGTCTCAGTGTTTTGCTGGTGTCAGTTGAATCTGAGTGCATTGTTCCTATGGAAATTGCAGTCATAGCTTCACAATTCGTTTGTAAATCTCTACCAAAAAAGAATGTCTTGACTTTGACAATAGTAATGTGTCTTACTTTGGCAAGGGCTATTTTTTCGCTTATAAAGTAATATCCTATTACTGTTACATTAACTCATATGATTCCTACTATTATTCTCCTTGCATCTTCCATCCTGGGATTTCAGATGGGCACCGACTACTCTCTGCTTCCTCTAATAGCCCTCTCTATTGTTTTCCAGAGATCTGTCAATTTTATTGAGCTGCTGTCATAGACTCTCAGTCTGCCGACTCCCACAGCTGGAGACAGCGGCGTTCTGAATGGCGAATACACACCGATGTTCAGTCATCGTACAGATATATCTGTATCTGTCCATAGACTGTTATGAAATGACTTATTCCTTGCCTTGGTGAGGGGAGGGGTGCTTTTTGTGATATTTCTTGTAAGATTTTAAATGAGTATTTGGAAGCTTTTTAGGTGTTTAACTTATAGGTAGGTGTTCTTATGTGTTGAAGATAGTGAAAGCTCTTATTATAAAGTTGGTGTAAGTATGTACTTCAGGGGTCCTGGAGGGGGAGACAAGTTCTTGGCCTTTTTAGGAACCTGAAACTCTTAAGTGTTCTTCCAACAATAACAACAACAAAAAAATCCAAAAAACCCGCCGTTTGTCCTAAGAGCTCGTAGATCTGTTGCAGTTCATAAACTCAGAGGCCATGAACTAATATTGTTCACTCTTCGTGGTGTTGTACATTTTACAGAAGGCGTTTTATCTCCCAGCGCTGCTCTCTAGACTTTTTAGAAGACATAGTGGAATATGCCAGTGTACGAAGGTACTTTTTTATTCAAAAGTGGCATTAATCTCAACTCGTTGCATGCAGTCCTCTCCTCCCTCCACCCTCTTCCACGCCAATATCTGAGGTCCTGCATGCTAGTGCTGCCATCTGCTCATACAACTGGCATGACTTCTATTTCAGAGTACTTAACAGGTTTTGGTGGGGTTTTTTATCATTGCAGAACCAAGCAAATATCTGGGTCTCCAAGACACAAAAGTTTGAAGAAGATGCACTTCATCAAGAACATGAGGCAGTATGACACCAAGAACAGCAGGTAACTTCTGGAGATCAAGGTGCCTCCTGTACTCAGGTGAAATAGGATGTGCTCCGCAGCAGATTCTACTTCAACGCCATTAGCCATTTAATGTCAGTGCGATGTCCTTGGGCTCTTGTTAATTGTATACGTTCTGCTCTCGAAGGCAGGAGGTGCTCATACCTGCTACACCTGCAGCAATATGCTGATGGTTCTGCCTTCCTGCTCTGAGGAGGTTAAATCATTCTCTTCTAACACTCTCCTTATCCCTAGCACACAGAGAGGTTAGAGCAGCTGAGGAGGTAAGGAGAATGGCTTGGTTTAGCCAAATTCTTAGCTCATGGTTGCTGGGCAGAAGAGAAGGAGGGGGCTGTGTTTATTTTTATTATTAATAGAGGTTTGAGACTTCATCTAAATGTCAAATATTATCTAGATCTTTTCATAGGGTTTATGTGAAAATGGCATAAATGTAGATCTATATTTAAAGACTGGGATCTCCTTTGAGGAGCTCCTGAGATAACAGCAGTTACTGAACGCTGGGGTTTGATGTAGAGCTTGGCTCGAAGGACCTACAGGGTCAGAGTGAAGCCTCTGCTTTTGTGCTGCTTTCTGAAAACACAAAATACACAGCAGTATCTGTGTAACTTACAGAGCAATTCTGTAAGAACTGCCAAATTATAAGAAATCTCCAGAGCAGTTCTGGAGTTCTGTGTTCATGTTCCATAAAAAGCTGCTTTGTAACTTCTGAATCTTAATTCTTATCCTGATCTTTTCCTGTCTGCTTACAGGATAGTGCTGATCTGTGCTAAACGAACACTGTGTGTGGCTTTTTCTATCCTACCTTATGGGGAGAGTTTACGGATCAGGTGAGTCATCTTTAACTGCTTTGTCAAATGTCTGGTCTGTTGCTTGCAGAAGATCTTTTGAGATGAGGTTGGTGTAAGTCTCCTGTTCTGAAGCAGGTGAACTTACTTAACTTACCATTTATGTGTAAGGACAAGAGCTTGCTATCAGAGCAGTAACATCAGACACTGTCAGAGTGTTAAAGTGTTCATTCAAACTCTAGGAGAAAAATAGTGGGGAAAGTAGGCTTTTTTCAGGTGTTTGTTCACATTTTAAAGCACTCCAGTCCTGTGAAATCCCTGAAACCAACTCTGAGCAGATGATGTGATTTGTTGCTGTGCAGGATTCCCTATGCTCCTAAAGTGGTCAGAAATCAACTGTTTCCAGTGCAACAAGTAATTGCGTCAGCCAGACAGCACACAGAGCATGAGGCAAGGATGCTGCCGTGTTTACTGGAAACCCTTTGAGGTTTTATAGTGAAGTTGCATCTAAGTAAATTTAAGATGCGCTTTTTTTTCTTCTCTCTTAAGCCACAAATGTCACCATTTGCGGTCTAAGAAAAACAGAGGCAGTTTAGACTGTTACTGCTTTTAGTGTTTGTCCGCCCTTTTTGTATAGGACTGTCAATACGATCGCTTCTGAGAAGCAAACCCTGCTCACTGCATTTCTCTGCAGCTTTCCCAGTCCCTCGTGGAGTCCAAGTTGATTCTGTGAAGGTCTGTGAGCAACAAGTATACCGCAGAAAATACTAATTTTATTCTAATGCACTTTTGGTGAAACAATTGTGTTGTCACTTCTGTCCCGTACATAACTTACGGATGAAGGAAACGGATGTTTAGTGGTGGGAATTGTATTGTATGCAAATACACTTGCCATAAAAATAGTTGGTGGGAAACTAGTCTCTCACTTAATAGAAAAGCAGCAAGGTCACTGGAGCTATTTTAGAGCAGTCCTGAGCACTGTGTCGTTCTGCTTGTAAGCTGGCAATGCAGTTCTTCAACTGAAAGCTGCTTTTTTGCATTGGAATATAGGTGACAAAGCTGCACGCTGCCATCGCTGAAGCAGAGTTCTGCTAGCAGCCCTAATTCTTAATTTGAGGCTTGTGTGCACAGTGGTTGGAAAATTGCAGTTGAAAGGGAAGTTTCTAATCCTGGAAAACTAGTAATATAAATTGTGTTTGCTGTGAAGTGTTTGAGCCCTAATGTGTTAGGAATGGTATGGTCTTCTGCAGAAAGACCATATTAGAAAAAGTTTACTTTTGATAGGTATATTGGTACAGTTAAATTTTTGAGTTAAAATGAGATGAAATCTGATTCTTCAGTTAATGAACACCTCTGCATTTTAAAAAGAGTACTTAGAAATTAATGCTTTCTTGGAGATGGGATTGAGGGGTTGCACTGTTCTCACGTAGAACTCTGACCTGGTGGGGTTGGCTGTGGCTAGTGGATGGAGCTGGTGTTTGCCATAGAGGAAGCTGGGCTTGTGCTGCGTTTTAGAATAGCACGCTTTCTTATCTGCATTTAGTGATCTAAAAATGGAAGGACAGAAGCAGCGACATCCTTCTGGGGGAGTTTCAGTCTCCACTGAGATGGTGCTTGGACTGGAAGGAGTAGAGCTGGGTGCTGATGGCAAGGTAAGAAAACACTCATTCTGGAGTGGTAATGCCAGTGACCAAACCACTGACTGGAGCAGAGGATGCCGGATGGGTAAGCTGGCTGCTTTCACCCCGGGGGCATTTAGTGCTGGGGCAAATCACTTAATTTATGCAGTGCTTTGCCATCTATAAAGTGAGCGCTGTGACTTTTCAGAGCAGTGGAAGTTTGTTTAGATCCTTAGCTTGAAGTGTTAGGTTTGTGATAATGCTTCTTCCAAGGCGGCTGTTAAAGCCTGTGATCGCTTCTGCCTCTGTTTCTGGCGAATTGATTTGACTCCATCTCAGGCAACGTGAGTGATGTTTTGATAGAAATATGGGTGAAATTTATAACTCTTTAAATTTATGTACTGCCAGAATTCTACTGATGTGATTCTCCCCTTTTCTTTGCCTCCCCACCAAATCTTCTACAACACTTCCACACTGAAGTCATGGAAGCAAGGCATTCCTTCACCCAACTTTTCCCTTTCCTCCTGTCCCACCATTTCAAGGTCCCCACTCCCAAATACAAACTCCAGGGAACTCTGAGTTGTAAAATCCTAGATGTCTGGAAATAAGCTTTGCAATAAATTTTTCACTATAACTACTACAAATTTCTCTTCTTTAAGGTTGTGTCCTATGCAAAATTCTTGTATCCGACCAATGCCCTAGTTGTTCGCAAAGCCGACAGCCATAGTGCTGTTCCCTCATGTCGAGCCAGTGCTTCACGGAGTCTTCCTGGATCAAGATATAAACCTGTGACAGCAAAAACAATACCAGCAGGATCGGACATTGGTAAGGACAGCTGTCAGCTTTGTCACCACCTGTACACACAGCAGAAAAACATAAAAGGAATATAGTGGTCTGAAACAGTTGCAAATGGTAAAGGGCATTACTGGGAAGAGTGTGCTGCAGCTGGACGGAGATGGTTTTTAGCATAGCCTAGCAAAGAAGGTTTGTTAAAGAAGTACAAACGATGAGCCTTAAGGCTGACTTATACAGAGGATGTAAGGAACATGTGCATCTGGTCTAGTTCTGTTTATGCAATTCAAGAGTGCAAAGCTGTTTCCTTGGAAATGTGAAGTTCTGTATTACTCAACAAGAAACATCTGGTGTACCTAGGTACAGGTGGTCCTCCTTGCCTCCTGGCACAGTAACAATGAATAAGCCAAAGAGTTGGTGACAAGAATCCCCTTTCTTATGTAAAAGAACAAACCTGACAGCTCTGTCTGCAAGATTAGAATCTAGGCAAAAGAATTCAGTCCTGTGCAGTTGTTTTCTGTGCATATTTATGGATGACAAACTGTTAGTTTGCACCAGGTCTAAAATGGTGCGTCAGGCACGTGCTGGACAAAGAACTTGTGTGGGTTTTTTAATAGTTCTAATACCCAGCTGCTACATTCATGGAGTGCAAGCAGGTGACTGTAGCTGCAGTCTGCCTGTGCTATGGGCTGTTCCAATGCTTCTAATGTTTGCTGTTGGAAAACGTTTTAAAGAGGAAACGGGGAATTTAAAGCTCTCTATCTTTGACCCAGTTCTGTGCTTTCCTCATTCTGCTCAGGAAGTGAAGCTGGGGAAGCCGCAGAGTACGATCCAAATCTTCTGGATGATCCTCAGTGGCCCTGTGGAAAACATAAACGTGTTCTCATCTTTGCCTCCTACATGGTGAGTGGCTGGCACACCTGAACAGAGAAGTGAGGGAAGTGCCTGGAAGATCCTCCTAGAAAGAACTTCCTGGAGGAAAAAAACTTCCTCTAGGAATAAAAAGTTGTGGCTTTTTTGAGAATTCATTAGGAAAAATATGAGTAGTTGGGTTTGTACACTCAGCTTGTTGAGGACCATCCTGACATATATCTCCACGTTGTCATTTGCTCCTTGTAACCATTTACTTACTGGTTTTTTAAGACTTTGTCTGTGGTTGAGGTTCAGCATGGTCTGTTACTTAGGACATTACAGAAATGTTAAATTGTGAATAATAAAACTCGGGTTTGCCTTTGCGTTAGTGTCTTTGGAAGACTTGTTTGGCTGTCAGTACTGTTCACAACAAACATAAGTTTTGCCTCTTGTGTTTCAGACTACAGTCATAGAATATGTGAAACCCTCGGACCTTAAAAAGGATATGAATGAAACCTTTAGAGAGAAGTTTCCTCATATCAAGTTGACACTGAGCAAAATTAGGAGGTAAGAACCAAGCATTGAATGAGAACATCTACGCTGCACAAGACTGCTTTTCTCTTCCACTTGTATGGAGCAATTACTAGATCTATTAATAGCATATATGATTAAACGCTAATCTTTTGTTGCCAGTTGAGCTGACTGTAGGATGACAGCCTTGTACAGGAACGTTTAGGATGCTGAGAAAGGGTAACAGTTGGTTTTCATAGTTCAGCCTAAAAGAGGTTTGTTTCACCAAATAACACTAGTAGCCAATTGACAATGAAGCAGCATTAGCCTTGAAACAAATACTTGTAACCTGATTGTCTGGCTGTAGTGCAGTGCCACTCTAACTGGCTTGTCTTTCTGGACCCTCTGGCTATTTTTGCCTTTCAATTACCAGACTCACTGATGACCACAGGTTCTGACAAGATTCTAGGATGAAGAGGAGTGTTAAGTGTGGGGACTCTCAGTAAAGAAAAACATTTTGTGAAGGCAGGACTGTGCCGCACAGAATTCCTCATCTTCCAGGAAATGTTTCTGGCTGCTCACCGTCGAGATGCAGTGTGGTGCCTTCCGAGAGCTGTAATCTTGCTGGTACTGCACAGCGGTTCGTGCAGTCGGGGCCTTCTGAAGTAGCCGCCTGAAACACGATTCTGCTGAATCACCAGGGCTGTGGGTAACTCTCAGCTGTGGGCAGAAGGCTTGCTCAGGCAGAGTCTGTGTTCTGCCAGAATTCTGCATACTCCTCCTTGTAGCTGTTTGGAGTAGTGTGCTTGCACAGGCATCTTCTTGCAGGTGTAGCATGGATGGCAGCCACGAGGCATAGCATCCACCATAAAGTCTGCCTTAACGCTGAAGTGAAAGGCTGTTGGAAGGGCATGAAGCAGTCTGCCTTGCCCCTCAGACCCGATTCTTCCATGAGGTGTGCAGCAGACAGGTCTCCGTGCAGCAGCTGCTGCGATGTGCGTGGTTTTGATGTGGTGCTCTGTAGGTCAGGGTGGTTCAGTCTTAGCATATGAATCATGAACCAGTTTGGGAGCGCAGAGGCAACCGTACAGCAGTAGCCTGTGTGTCAGTGAGGCGGCTAAGGCCCTGGTGCTCTTGGGCAGATGAGGAACTGTTCTTCCACAGCAGATGTTGTCAGCCAGGTTAAATCAATTTGTGTATCAGCTCCAGCTTGCTGCCAGCTTTTCCAGTCTAGGACAACATGCATCACAGTTTTCCAAATAGGAGTCTTGCCTGTATGCTCTTCTAACTTCCCATGCTGCAGTGTTTCTACAGCCTTTCCTAAAAGCTGTTGTGTTTGAGAGGGTGTCTTTTTTCCTGTTCCCAGTTTAAAGAGAGAGATGCGGAACCTGAGTGAAGAGTGCAATCTGGAGCCGGTTACCGTCTCCATGGCTTACGTTTACTTTGAGAAGCTCGTCCTCCAAGGCAAACTCAACAAACAGAACCGCAAACTGTGTGCTGGTGCTTGTGTTCTGCTTGCAGCCAAGATCAGCAGTGATCTCAGGAAGCATGAAGTTAAACACCTTATAGATGTAAGTACTACGAGGCTTGTTCCAGGTGTTGTCAAAACCCCCTGTTTCACAGAACAAGACAAAGATCAAAGCCAAGACTTTCAGAAGTGCATGCTTGCATTTAAGACAAGCTTTCAGTCAGTTTTACGTCTCATTAGGGGTCTTCCTTCATGTTTGTGTTTTTAATTGATTAAAACAATATGGCTGTGGTCTAATGTCCTACTGATCTGACAGTGAGGTGATTTTTGCACTTGCTGTCTCTCAGCCAAACACACCTCACTGTGGGTGTCACAGCTGAGCTGATAAGCTGGTTTACTTGTCTGAACCCTGGCAACACTTTCGATCCTGTAGGTAGAGCTCTGGCTGTGCATCACTGACACCTGTTTTATGCTGACTTAATCCCACAGTGCGTTGGTATCTTGTGGATTAACTGATTCTTTCTCCCCTCTCCTTTTTATGTTGTTTTGTTTTTGTTTTTTTATTACTACCCTAGAAACTAGAAGAGAGATTTCGATTCAACAGAAGAGATCTCATCGGTTTTGAGTTCACTGTCCTGGTAGCTTTGGAACTGGCTCTCTATCTTCCCGAAAACCAAGTTTTACCTCATTACAGACGGCTCACACAACAGTCTTAAGCGAAGCTGTGTTCTGGCTGCCAGCCAGCGGCGTTGGGGATCGCATCGCTGCGCGCTGCTGGTGGAGCTGCCACCGGCCCCTCTGTGCCGCGGTGTGCGTCCTGCCGTGGCTACAGCTCGCTCTGGGGTCTGCAGGCGTTACTGAACCGTCGAGGTGTGCGTTGTGGACACGTATGCCAAGTCTGGGGGATGGTACGAGAAGAGTTGTTGAACTTTATTTTCTTTTGGACATTTAAAGCACAAATATATACCCATCAGCTGTCATGGCTGCTTATTATTCCTTATTTATCTTTTCGGTTTTACTGAAACTGTTCTTCCCTATGAAGAATACTATGGTATTGTTTCATTTCTTTTTTTTTTAAGCTTTTATTGTATTCTGTGAGACTAAGGGAAGCATCACTTCCATTCCAGCGCACCATAAAGTTCAGATATTTCTAAGAATCTCCTTGCATTTTTACATTAATGAAATGCATACTTTATTTTTTTAAAGATGTGCCTAAAGCTGGCTGGTCTGGTACCAGTGCTTTTTAAGTTAGTTATGTTATTTAGTGGGGAATCCTGAATTTGTATAGCCATTTAGTCTTTACCCGCGTTGGCCTTGCATATAAGGAAAACAATTCCAGTATATCTGCACTAATGATACACAGGGCATCTATTCTCTACTATACTATAGATCTATAAGTAGCAAGACTGAAATTACTCCGTTCCAATTTAGTTAACTATTAGTACCTTAAGAATATACATTTTATTTAAAAAGGAAAGATTGTTTGAAAATCTGTCATGAAGTACCACAGGTTGAACAAGGTGGCTGCAGCAAAGCGATTGCCGTCCTACTGCACTCTTCAGTGGAAGATGAGCGCTTGAATAAGAGCAGTTTGCTGTCAGGTGTATCACTCCTGATTTTATTTCAGTGTTCCGTAGTCCAAAATAAGCACTTTTTTTAGTATGATTGTATTAGATATGGTCCTTATGTGCTCTGAGCATATACTTCAGTCGGTAGAGCTACTGCTGCCAAACTAAGCCAATGAAACAAAGCGTGCTCAGTATCTAAAATGCTACCTTTTTACTCCGTTCTTCCAAGCATTGCATCACTGTGGTGGTCCTCATAAAACTGGCATTTCTTGCACATCTGAACAGCCACTTAATGGCTGGTGTCCAGCAGCGCTCTAATGCTTATGCAGAGGTTAAATAACTTCTCTGACCATTGCCTATTGCTTCATTTATTTTTTAAATATCCAGGTTGGGAATGAACTCTGATTATATGTGGAACCTTCTGTGATATTGGCTCGTGGGTTTATTTTCTGAAGCAATATTATGATACAAGTAACTGTGTCTGTTTGCAAGGAACCAAACTGATGCTTGGCTATTACAACTGAGAAATTTGTAATTTAAGTTTGACTCCTAAATGAAATACTAGACCTCGTACTGAGGTAAGGGACCTGCTATCTACTATGTAAAGTAATGTAAATTCCTGTTCCTTGTATTAAATGTTGGTTGTAGCCAAAAACAAAGCTGAGTCTTTGCACTTCAGCTGTGTTTTGTCTGAAGCTAATTGGCTTCATTAGAATTTCAGTAAACTTCACTGGAGCCCCCTTCCTCTTTAAGTTGGGCTCGAAATGTATTTTTCATATATAATAATTACAGTGACTATCAAATCTTTTATAACTCTGTTCAACTGTATGTAGCTTGAAGTTATTTGTGTGAAAATTCAATATGCTTGTGACTTCTCTCTAACACAGAAGGACTTTCCAGTCTCCATAAGTGAGATGGTAGCTCCATAAGTGAAATGGTAGACAATAAGCTTGCCAGTTAGCTTCCAAAAGTTTAAAAAAAAAAATGCCTACTAGTTAAACTTTCTACTGAATATAACTGTGCTTGCATGCAAGAAATAGCGATGTACTAAACATCTAGTGTATAATGAGCCTTCAAATTACCAAACAGTGGTGTAGACAACTAACATGGTCCACCACTTCCTAAAGTCAGAGAGGAGGGGAAAGAGGGAGAACTGAGCAAAGAAATTTCTCACAGAGCATCTCCAGAAACAGTAAAATAGTTCCATTAGCATGAATGAAGTCAAAACTGCCTTTCTCTGGGAACTTCTTTGCTTAGTGTGTAAAGTTTTCTTCAGCAAAATTAACTTTCCTTTCTGAACATCTAAGGAAAAAAAAACGCGCTTTGCAACAGCCTGCAGTCTCTATTCAGTGGAAGTTTGTCTAGTTGCAGTAGGCATTTGGGCTGGAGTTACACTCCCGGAATCTACAGTTTCATGTCATAAACCGGCAAGCTTTTGGTTCCTCTTCCAGAAGAACACATTAGGATAAAGGAGCATTAAGTTACAGAATGCTGAGTGTTGTCTAAAAGTTCCTCTGAACGTTGGCTTGAGCACCTGTAGTGTTCTTCAGCTCCAAATCTGTTTTGGAGCAGAAACCACGTCCCTGGTAGAGTGTGGCTTTGGGCCGATGCCGTCCGGAGGTGTAATCGTTGATGGCTTGAATGTCGGTACCGCTGTCACGACATCTGTGCAGAAACAGTCCCTGGGCGGAGATACGTTAACTTGTGTTTGTGTTGATTTTTATATTTCCAGAGTGCAGCTTGTAAGGAATATTTAGCTTTTCACCTAAAAGCTGCCACCATGTGGCAAAGGACTATGATGACCAAGTTATCCCTTAATAAACTGAACGCAGGACCCAAAGTAATTCACGGATCTGCCGGCTTTGCGTTGTCCCAGCCCAGCTCCGGGCACTTTGCGGAGGGTTTGGGCCGTGTGGAGACGCTGGCGGCTGACCTAGCCCGGAGAACTCTCTTGCTGTACATTTTTATGTGAACAATACTGTTACGGCTTTGTCTTACTGCATTATTTAAAAGTCTTGAGTTGTAGCCTGTTCCTTTTGTTTTTTGGTTTTTTTCCTCCTCATGAACTTGTGAAACTGAGATGCTGTGAAATAAAAACTGTTTTGATACGTGGTTTTGTAACCGAACGTGGTGGGGTCTCTGGGTTCCCCGCGGGTTCCTGGCGCCGGGGCCCTCACGCCTTAAATGGCGGCCGGGGGCGGGGGGGGA